CAAAGCTGGTTTGCACAGGAGACCGCAGTTTTTTTTATTGCTCAAATCAATCTCCTAAAAATTTAAAAACTGGGGTTAAGGATAATCTCATGGGTGGGGGTCAGGTAGTGGGGAGTGCTGACTGGTCCCTCAGGAAATGGAGAGTCAAAGCTGTTCTCTAGTGATGAGTCAGTTACTGAGTGGAAGCCATAAGACCATCGACATAGGTAGGACCAGCTGATCCATCCAGTGTGGGGTCTGAAAATACCTTGAGCACCAATCCTAGGTTTTATAATAGTGATGTTATCCCTAGGAGCAATTAGGGAGGCTTAGACTCGTGGCCTCTAACTGTATGACTCCTAAACGATAATTTCTAATCTTGTGGCTAATTGGTTAGTCCTGCAAAGGCAGTCGGGTCCCCAGGCAGTAAGGTTTGTTTTGGGATAGGACTGTTGTCATCTTTGTTTCAAAATAAAACTATAAGTTCCTCCCAAAGTTCTTCTGCCTATACTCAGAAATGCATAAAAACAGCTCGAAAGATCCTCTAGAAGTGAGATGGAGTTGGTTAGGTCAGATCTCTTTCACTGTCATAATTGGCTGTCATAATTTCTGCAAAGTTTGGTTTCACCTTCACTATGTCAAGAGTCCTTGCTCTGTGCTGTTTACTTCCTTGCACATACCTCAATTGCTCAAATTTTCTTTTTCTGGAAAACAAATGTTGACTACATATTTGTCAGATCGTGTGAGTAACAAATAGAACAGCTATTGTCCCTGTCCTCCTCAGACTTCTAATCTGTAGGTCAATCACAAGTGGTACAGAAAAATTATCAGTGTGTAAATGTTCCCAGCCTCCGGACTGACAAAAGACTTTGCCTTTCAACTTTCCCCAGTGCCCTAAGAAAGTATACCTCTCAGACTTGTTCTGAATGTTTGTGATGTAAAATAAGAGAGAGCAGGCAGAAACACATTTGAAAGGTGACCTCTAAGGGAAAGATTTATGGAGAATAGCTAAACAGATCTACATAAGGATTGGGGAGAATTAAAGAAGAGAGAAGAGGGAATTTGAAAGATCCTCTAGTGTGTCTGGGTACTGTTGTTTTCCACATTTGGCCTCTGGCTCTTCTAGAGAGTGTGCGAACTACAAGATATTGTTAAAGTCCTTTTCTTTCTCAACCAGTGTGGATCCTGTTGTTTGTAACTAACAGTCTGACCTAATCAAGCTGAGATCTGAAAGATGAGTCAGCCATGGGAAGAGCTATCAGAGTGTATCAGCATCTGGGCACAGGGCACTGAAGTGTGTTGGCTCAAGGAAGCGAGAAGAGGATAGGTGGTAGGAGTTCTGTAGACATCAAGAGAATGATAGTTGATGAGGTTAGAGAGGGAGGCATAGGGTTTAGAACCTGAGAGCTCAGGCCACTGTGAGAAGTTTATGGTTTATGTAAAGTATAATGAAAGTTAACATGTTTTTGGCAGAGGATGCATGATCTGATTAACGTTTTGTCTCTTAATGTGGAGCATAGATTAGAAGGGGGACATGAAAGGACATGGGAAGAGTATTTAAGGTTAAATCATATTGAAATTGCATTTCGTGTCTGTTCCCTTATGAGATCACTGAAGCCAAGAACCATATCTAATTCAAAAGTGCATAGTAGGTGCTCAAATAGTGTATTAAGCTGAATGAATACATACAATAATGCACTGCATTTTTGTAACAACTCTGATAGGCGGGTCTTCTGCCCATTCCATAGATGAAAAATCTGGTAAAGAGATCCAAGTACTAGGCACTGCCCTAAGAATGTTACGTATATTAACACATTGATCTTACAACAACCTCATGAGGTATATGCTATTTTATCTCCACTTTACAAATGAAACAACTGAGGCACAGAGAGTTTATGTAATAAGCTCTAAGTTACTCAGCTAAAAAGTGGTAGTGCTAGGATTTGAATCCAGGTAGTCTGGCCTCACAGGCTCCACTCTTAACGACTATACAGACTGCCTCATACGGATGCTGATGACTTCTCCACACACACATATATATAAAGATATACCTTTAAATGAGTTAGAAGAGTACTATTCATAGAATAAAAATCAAATATAACTTTCAAGCCACTAAAGTGGGGGAAAAAATTGGAAAAAGAAACTGTCAAACCAAAGGCAGAAAAGAGAACAGGAAGCATGATACATACGATGAGTGAGATATATCTATGAATAAGTTAAGTGTTACTATTAAGAGGGAAATTTCAAATGAGGGGGACATGTACATGCTTTCAAAAAACATACCAAAAACAAAATGGAGCTAATAACTGAATTAGCTATATATTCAGAGAAACTCTTGCACTTGTGTACCAGGAAACATGTACAAGAAAATTTACTATCAGTAGTTTGTAATGGGGGGAAAAATGGGGGCAAAAAAAAAAAAAAAATAACCTGCGTTGGCATGGGGTGGAGCAACGGCAGCTCTCCTGCATTGCTGGTGGAGGGTAAGTAAGCTGGTACAACCACTGGAGAACAGTTTGGCAATATCAGAGTTGAACTGTGCAAACCCTTCCACCTTGCAATTCCATTTCTAGATATTATGTTAAAGGAATTTTTACCATATGTCTAAGAAACTGTATATAAGCGTTAACTCATGTTGTAGTGACAGAAATCAGGAATCATTAAATTGCTAGCAACTTGAGAATGGAGAAATGGTGGTATAGTTATACAATAGAATACCATTCAGTAGTTAAAAAACATTAGAACTGCCGGGCGCGGTGGCTCAAGCCTGTAATCCCAGCACTTTGGGAGGCCGAGGCGGGTGGATCACAAGGTCAAGAGATCGAGACCATCCTGGTCAACATGGTGAAACCCCGTCTCTACTAAAAATACAAAAAAAATTAGCTGGGCATGGTGGCGTGTGCCTGTAATCCCAGCTACTCAGGAGGCTGAGGCAGGAGAATTGCCTGAACCCAGGAGGCGGAGGTTGCGGTGAGCCGAGATCGCGCCATTGCACTCCAGCCTGGGTAACAAGAGTGAAACTCCGTCTCAAAAAAAAAAAAAAAAAAAAAACATTAGAACTACAGAAATCAACCTGGATAAATTTTACATACATAATTGTAAGTGACAGAAGCAAATGACATGAATATCATTTATATTAGGTTTAAAAAGCATAAAACAGTTCTGTATGTTACTTAACATTGCTACATGTATATGGAGCATATATAAAAGCTTTCATGAGAATGACAGATACCAAATTCAAGGAAGTAGTTAATTCCAAAGGGGAAGAAAGGGAGAATGAGATTGCAGACAGTTTCACAAGGAGCTCTAACTGAATGTTAAAATTTGAAGCAAATACGAGAAAATGTTGAAATGGGATAAAGCTGGATGGTTGGTTCACAGGTGTTCATTATATTATTTTCTGTAACTGTATATTCTTGTAATATTTCATATTAAACATTTTAAAGGAAAGTGAAGCTTTCAAGATTCTAGAAAATGAACAAAATAAATCCAAAGAAATAAATTAATGAATGCATATATTAATGAAAGAGAAATTACTTTTAAGACAGATTTTATCTATAAAGCCAAAAGCTGGTTCGATAAATGTGATCAAGAAAAAGACTCCAATAGAATATATAAGAATATGTATATAAGAACATATAAGAATGGTTGAAAACAATATGATATTTTTTTAAAAAGTTAGCAAATGTAGCTGAAATACTTTTCTAGACAAATTAAAGCTATTTTTCTCAAGAAGCAAAAGAACAAATTATATGTATCAACAACCATGGAGGCTATATAAAAAAACAAAACTATCCATTAAGATGGCACCACACTCACAAGACTTTAAAGATGAGTTCTTCAAAACCTAAGGAATGTATCATTCACACATGCTATGTCTATTCCAGGTCATATAAAAATAAGTTAATCTGCCTGACTCCTAGCACAACCTGATAATCAAAACTAGACAAGAACAGCAAAAGAAAACCATAAGCCAACCTAACTTAGGTGCATACATGAAAACCCAAAGTTAAATACACAGCAGATTGCATCCGGCCATATACAGAAAAAGTAACGTACCAGGATTGTAAGGATGGCTTGCTATTAGAAAATCTATTATTGTAGTTATTTTGTTGTAGAGTAGTGGAAAAAAGCCATACAATCATCTCAAAGACTGTTACTGAAAATACTTGGTAAGTCTGTCATTTGCTGATTAAAAAAAAAAAAAAAATGGAATGACTTGGTAAACTACAAAAAACACAATTTGTCTATACACCCACTCACACACACATCATAAATCTGCAGAAGATATCTTGAATGAAACCTTAGATGCAATCCAAATAACTCCTGGTAAGAAATAAGTACCTCTGTGGCTACTATTCAGGGTTGTATTGGATTCTTGGGAGAAGCCAAAATTTTTATTTACAGATATACCTACAAATTAAAGAGGATTGCCTGTCAAATTATTAGAATACGAAGGTTTAGTGAAGTGCCCAGGTAGATCAACAATCAAAAACCATACTTACGTAAGGGTACTAATGGGTTAACAGTCCATTAGTAAAACAAACTAAAAACAACAAAAATAGCTAAGAAAAACTTAAACATGCACAACACCAAGCAAACTGCAACGTTTTACCTAAAGAAAAGAACTGAATTTAAAAAAAAAAAAAAAAAAAAAAAAAAAAAAGCCATATTGCTGAATGGGAATTCTCAATATCGTCCTACCATCAAATCTTGGCAAATCTACAAAAATATGGAATCCCAAACAAATCCCTGGAGATCTTTGCCATCTGGCGCCAATGTACTAAATAAATCAGCCCTAAGGTTTGAAGTTCCTCACAGGTGCGAGAAAACGCTTCGCGACGGGTCCAGCCGCGGACAGAAAAACCGCAGCCTGAGTCCCGCGCCCTTCCAGGCGCCCTGCCCTCCCACCGCGCCCGCAGCCGCCACCAAAGGCTCGCGCAACTGGAAGAGCCACTTCCGTCCCGCCCCACCCTGTGGCGTAGGTGGGACATTTCCGGTCGTTTGTTGCGCGTGCGCGCGCTCTGACGTTCTCTGCGTCTCATCCCCGCAGCCCTGCCCCGGGGGCGTTGGGTTTCCCGACGCTAGCAGTGCTGGGTCTTCGACACCCTGGGTCCGGTTGGGGCTGTCAAGCCGGACCAAATAGGTTGTTTCTCCGCAGTTTCCAGTAAGTGACCGTTCCAGCCGGGGCTGTGGCTAGAAAGAGTGTGAAGGCAAAACGGTAGCGGTCGCGCCGCCATTTTCTTTTCACCTCACTCTTTCCTCAACGGCCCCTCCGTCACCCCGAGGGGACTGTCCCCCGCTAATGAGGCCTCTCCCAAGCTCTGAGTTTCCCCAGGAGATGTGTCCTTTGTCATAAAAGCGCTCATAGCATTTAGTGCTAATCTTCGACGGCCGCGGACTTCTCAGATGCGCCATGGAGGATGCCTTCTAGGTGTGACACTCCTCAGCCTTTCCGCTTCCTGCAGTTGTGACGGGCTCTCAGATACTCAGCGGGAAGATGTGATGTCCCCACCACCGCTTCTTACTCCAGTTCTCTTCGTGACTGTATCCTCTGTTTCAGAATCTTAGCACCTTGTAACAAAAAATGTACCAAGGACCATTCCACTTTGCGCCCCTTCCTCCCTTCTCAAAAAAAAAAAAAAAAAACCCTTCTCGTATTAATAACAATTAAGAATGCCTTAAGAGCAAGGTACTGACAAGCGCTATACACACATGTAATCTTCCCACCACAGTCCTTAGGTAGGCAGACATGAGGAAATTAAGGCACAGAAAAGTTAAATAATTTGCCCAAAGCAACGTAGGTTGGATGTGGTAGGGTTGAAATTAGAATTTGTTGGGTTGCTGACTCAATCCGGCATTATCATTCATTCTCTTTCCCAATTACTGGACATTAATTTTTTCTTTTTTTAGTTGATTCTACAGAGGAATTTTTTGCCTTAATGCTGTTTAGAGGGTTCTTGAGAAATTCGGGTTCTGAGAACTCTTTTCTCAGAACTCTCCTCAAACAGACCTTAAGTGGTGTTTTACCGAATCTAAGCTCTAAGCTTAATATTTTGCCTATTCAAAATGTGCATATACTTCCTTAACAAAGTACCTGTAAACCAGTACCCACTAACCTGCCCCCTTTCTCTCCCTCAATATGACACTGATTATCACTGTTCTCAGCAAACGTTTGGGCAGCTAGCTTATGTAAGACAGTAAAAGTAATTGCGGTTTCGAAGAACTCTGAGGTTTAGTTTCAACCTGAAAGAGAAACATGAAAAGGCCTTCTTAAAAAGGCCATATAAAATAGAAATAAATCTTACCTCAGTTGCACAGAATACAAATTGTGTAAGAGCAACTTTGGACAAATCAGATAAGTGCTATATTTGTTTACTCATCTGTAAAATGTTACGGTTAGGCTAGATTACTAAAATATTATAAATCTAAGTTCAGAGAGGAGTGATCACTCTGTCCTGATGTGGGAACTTTTGAGGGAGGTGGAGGTTGTAGCTTTGTTGTTAGTTTTTTGTTGTTTCTTTTTCTTTTTTTTTTTTTTGTTTGGAGACAGGGTCTCACTCTGTCGCTGAGGCTGGAATGCAGTGGTATGATCAGGGCTCAGTGCAACCTCCATCTCAGCCTCCTTAGTAGCTGCGACTATAGGTGTGCACCACCATGCCCGGCTAATTTTTATATTTTTTGTAGATACAAGGTCTCACTATGTTGCCTAGGCTCATCTTCAACTGGCTTCAGGCAATCCTTGGCCTCCCAAAGTGCTAGGATTACAGGCATGAGCCACCCCACCCTATTTGTAGTATGTTCTTGATACGAGACAAGGTTGAAGGATTCAGAGTACATTTTTCTTATCTTGAATATCTGATAACATTGGTAGATCTGCCATCAAGAGAGGATTAAAGAAAAGTGTGTGTGTGTGTGTGTGTGTGTGTGTGTGTGTGTGTGTGTATGCATGCATGCCATGGAAAACTAGCCATAAAAAAAGAAATCCTGTTTTTTTCAGCAACGTGGGTAGAACTGGAAGCCATTATCTTAACTGAAATAACTTAGAAAGTTAAATACCACGTGAGAACGTGTTCTCACTTAAAGTAGGAGCTGAGAAGCAATGGGCATATGTGCATATAAACACTGGAGACTACAGAAAGTGGGAGGATGGGAGGAGATTGAGAGTTGAAAAATTATGTACTGGGAACAATGCTCACAATTTGGGTGGTGGGTACACTAAAAGCCCAGGCTTCACCACTATGCAAAATGTACATCTAAGAATTCTGCACTTGTACCCTCTAAATATATACAAATATAATTTTTCTGAGACAGTCTTGCTCTGTCGCCCACTTGGCTTACTGTAACATCTGCCTCCTGGCTTCAAGCAATTCTCATGCCTCAGCCTCCCAAGTAACTGGGACTGCAGGAGCACACCACCATAGCCAACTAATTTTTGTATCTTTAGTAGAGATGAGTTTTGATCTGTTGGCCTGGTTGGTCTCAAACTTCTGGCCTCAAGCAGTCCACCAAGTGCTGGTATGAGCCATGGTGCCTAAAAGCCTAAAAATAAATTTTTTTTAAAAGCTGTAGATGTTGCTCTGGAAATAATATTCACATCCGTACATTTTATACTTAATTTTAGGAAATTCATGACTCCTCCTCCTTAAACTTAAATGTTAAAAACCCTTGATGTAGGAAAATAGTATTCAAAACACAGAGCGAAGACAGATGTGGAAGGCCTTTATCTTGTGGGCAGTGTTGAACTATTTGCAATCTAAAAAGAAAAATTTGGTAGCAATATGAAAAATGCATGACAGTGAGAAAAAGCAATGAGACTAGTTAGGTGGCAGGGGAATAATTTAGGTAGGAGACTGTGCCAAGCAGTATTGGGAATGATAAGAAATTAGAAGAAATATTGGCGAAGACAAATCAAAAGGACTTCATACCTGACTGGATCTGGAATTGAGAAGAAATCAATGATAACAAGATTTGAGGATCAGTTATGCTGCAGGTCTACCTTGTCTTCAGTATTTTTTATTGCATTTTAGGTTTTGGGGTACATGTGAAGAACATGCAAGATTGTTGCATAGGTGCACACATGGCAGCATGATTTGCTGCCTCCCTCCCCTTCACCTATATCTGGCATTTCTCCCCATACTATCTCTCCCCAGCTCCCCACCCCTCCGCTGTCCCTCCCCTATTTCCCCCCAACAGACTCCAGTGTGTAATGCTCCCCTCCCTGTACCCAGGTGCCATGTGAACTTCCCTGCAGTCCTGTTTATAGGGGTGTAGTTGGAACTGCCTTGGCAAAGCCAGCCCACCTCTGTAATGGCGGACTTTCTCTGTAATGGTGGGTTACCTTGGCAACGGCGGACTACCTCCATAGTGGTGGAGTGCCTCAGTAATGGTGGAGTGCCTCAGTAATGGTGGATGCCCCTCCCCCACAGAGCAGGACCTTCGCGGGTTCAGCTGTGCTTGCTGTGAAACTCTCAACCCAGTGCGTTTCCAATTGCTGTTTTTTTTGTGGGGGTGGGACCAGCTGAGCCTGATCACCTGGCTCCCTGCCTCAGAGCCTTTTTTTTTTTAGGTCGAACTGTCGAATCTATCCCAGGTGTTCCAGTCACCTGTTGAAAAGGCACCAGAATCTGTGTGATTTCTCGTGCAGTGACCCACTGAGCGGCCTGAAGCAACAGTGCTGAGATTCATGGCGGTTTTTTGCCCAGGAATCTCCTGACCTGGCTCCCTGTTTTAGTCCCCTTTTTAATCAGATGAATGGGTGACTCTGCCTTCCTGGAGCTCCAATTGCCAGCTAAAACGGTGCCCAGACCCTTGTATTTTGTACAGAGAACCACCGCCCCAGGGCACCATCAAAGCAGCCTTGCCAGCCAAACCAGCCATGCTGGTGACCCGTGAGGCTACTCCACCTGTGAATCTCCTGGTCTATGGGCAATGAAAATCCATCTGGAAATGCGGCATCTACTCACCCTCTGCACTTTCACTGGGAGCTGCAATCCTGAGCTGCTCCTAATCGGCCATCTTGGATCTAACCCATCTTCAGTATTTTATTGAAGTCATTCCTATAACATGTGTACTAGTGCTTGCTTCAACAGCACATTTACTAAAATTGGAACGATACAGAGATGATTAGGAAAAAAATTTTTAAGTGTAAATTTTAAAAAGAACCAAAAAGCGTACGTACTTTAAGAAGGAATATCACTCCCAACCCAACAGGCATTAAAAAGGATGAGGCAATACTACAGACACCTCTGTACTTATAAATTTGATAATGTGAGAGAAATGGGCCACTATCAAAATTACCAAAACTCACCCAGGACAAAGTAGGTAAACAAAATAGTCCTGTAACTATTAAAAAAATAGAATTTGTGTTAAAAAAAAAAAATCCCTGGAAAGAGTCTTCTTGCCTGGAAGAAAACAAAAAAGAAAAGAGTAATAAGTTAAAACAAAAACAAACGAACAAACAAAAAAAACTTCAGACCCAGATAATTTCACCAAACATTCATGGACAAAAAACACCAGTCCTGTTACAAGCTGTTTGGAAAGTAGCAAAGGAAGAAGCACTTAACTCATTTTATGAAGGCAACATCTTCTGGATACCAAAACGAGAAACAACAATACAAAAATCAAATCTTTAAGTTAAAATCTCTCATGAACAAAGTTACGACTTCCCCCAAAAATAGTAGCAAATTGAATTCAGCAGTAGATTAAAAAAATAATACATCGTGACCAAATCTCATTCCAGGAATTCAATATTTGGACATCAATCAGTATAATCCATTGTATTAACAGACTAAGAAAAACGTCATGATCCTATTAATAGATGCAGAAAAAGCATTTAACAAAATTTGGCATTCATTCATGATTCTTAAAACTCAGCAAACAAGAAATAGAAGAGAACCTAATAAAAGGCATCAACAAAACCCATAGCTGTTGTTACACTTAATGGTGAAAGACTGAATGCTCCCTACCCTCCAAGAACTAGGCAAGGATATCTCTTCCACTACTGTTTAATATATTACTGGAAATCCCAGCAATTCTTGTTAAGTCAAAAAATGGGAGAAAAGGCATTCTGACCGGAAAAGAAGAAATAAAATTATGTTTGCAGATGACAATTATCTATGCAGTAAATCTCAAGAAGTCTATTTTAAAAGCCAGTTTAGTAGGTTGTAGGGTAAAAGTTTAACATACATAGTCCTATTTCTACGCTAACAGTGAACCATTGGAAACTGACCAACTCTCCTCCCTCATAAATGAAATACTTAGGTATATATCTAACAAAATATGTGTGGGATTTTTGTGCTAAAAACTACAAAATGCTGATGAAAGAAGACCCTTAGTGTTCATGGATTGGAAAATTCAGTATAGTTAAAATGTCAGTTCTCTCTAAATAGATAAGGATTTAATTACAGTCAAAGTCCAAGCAGGATTTTTGTAGGCATAGATTAGTTGATTATAAAGTTGATAAGGAACTAAATTAGCAAAAGAGTTTTGAAAATGAAGAGCAGAGCTGAAGGATTCACATGACCTGATTTTAAAACCTAAGATTCTTGAAGAAAACATAGGAGAAAATGTTTGTGACATTGGGTTAGGCAAAGAATTATTAGATAACAACAAAAGCACTATCTATGAAGAAAAACAAGATCAATTGAATTTCATCAAAAAAATTTTTTTGCTGTATGAAGGATACTGTAAAGAGAATAAAAGATAAGCTGTATTAGGAGCAAATATTTTCAAATCACGTACTTGACCAAAGGCTTTTATATCCAGAATATATAAAGAATTTCCAAAACCTAACAGGAAACCAGATAATCTTAAAAAATAGGCAAAAGTTGGGCACTTCCTAAAAGATGATATACAGCTAGCAAATAAGCACGTGAAAATACATTCAACATCATTCGTCATTAGGGAAATGCAAATTAAAACCAGGAGGTAATATTAAACAGTTATCAGAATGGGTAAAATTCAAAAATAACATCAAGTCCTGACATGGATATGGAGCAACTAGAACATTCCTACATGCATTAATACAGCCACTTCGATGAACACTTGTGTAGTTTCTTAGGAATTTAAGCTTACACTTACTATGTAACACTGCAATTCCACGTTTGTGTGTTTATCCTAGGGAAATAAGAACTTAGGCCGGGCGCGGTGGCTCAAGCCTGTAATCCTAGCACTCTGGGAGACCGAGGCGGGTGGATCACGAGGTCAAGAGATCGAGACCATCCTGGTCAACAAGGTGAAACCCCGTCTCTACTAAAAATACTAAAAATTAGCTGGGCATGGTGGTGCGTGCCTGTAATCCCAGCTACTCAGGAGGCTGAGGCAGGAGAATTGCCTGAACCCAGGAGGCGGAGGTTGCGGTGAGCCGAGATCGCGCCATTGCACTCCAGCCTGGGTAACAAGAGCGAAACTCCGTCTCAAAAAAAAAAAAAGAAAAAAAAAAAGAACTTATGTTAATGCAAAAATCTGTAAATGCATGTTTATAGCAGCATTATTTATAATTGCCCCAAATGTCCTAAATTAAGGTTGGTTTGACATTTGAAAATCAGTGTAGTCTACCATATTAGCAGACTACACAAGAAGAACTGCATGAACTAAATGTCCCTTAATGAGTGAATGTGTAAACACACTGTGGTACACCTGCACAGTAGAATAGGAATGAAGAAAGGGAACAAACGTCCATACCTGCAGTAGCTTTGATGAATCTCAGGTGTGTTATATTAATTGAAGGAAACCAATATCAAATGGTTAAATACTTATGATTTCATTTATATGACATTGTGGAAAAGGTAAGACTAAATGGACAGTGAACAGATAGATGAGTAGTTGCCCAGGTTTAAAGATGGGAAGAGGGTCTGACTGCCAAAGAGTAGCATGAGGAAAATTCTTGGGTTATTGGAATTGTTCTGTATCCTGTTAATGGTGGTTACAAGTATCTATGTATGTGTTGAAACTCATAATACTGTATATATATGTGAACTTGTTCTATCACTATTGCAGTTTTATCACTCTCTAGATACAAATTTGAAAGTAAATTTTTCTGAAAAATTTTTTATGAATAAAGGCGATATAGTCTAGAATCTCATTTTAAAAACTCACCCTGACCTCAGTAATTCCTCCAACCACTATGCCATTTGTCTCCTTCATAGTAAAATATATGTTTATTGTCTTTATTTCCTCACTTCCCAATTTACTCTTTTTAAAAAACCTTTTAAAACATTTAGCAATATAGTATGTGCATGTGATTAAAAGATCCAGTTGTATATAAGAGTTGATAATGAGAAGCACAGTCTCCGTCCCACCTGCATGCCTCTCATTCTGGATCCACATCCCCAGAGACAAACACTTCAAACACTTTTTATGTTTAGTTATTTGGTGATTTTGCAATATTTCTAAATAGTATGCCCATACTGTTTTTTTCTCAAATTTATTTATTGTCCTCTGAGTTTCTGCTGTGATAGATGAGGACTCATCTCAATTATGACAACCTGTACTCCTGCTGGCTGCTTTCTCCACAGATTTCATAGTTTTAAAGTGTTTTTATTTTCTCTTTTGTTTACTCTTAGAAACTTAAGCAATTAAACTCACGCCTATAATCCCAGAACTTTGGGAGGCCGAGATGGGTGGATCATTTGAGGTCAGGAGTTAAAGACAAGCCTGGCCAAGAGGGTTAAACCCTGTCTCTGCTACAAATACAAAAAAATGAGCCAGGTGTGGTGGTGGGCACTTTGAATCCCAGCTACTCAGGAGGCTGAGGCACGAGAATCACTTGAACCCAGGAAACAGAGGTTGCAGTAAGCTGAGATAGTACCACTGGACTCCAGCCAAAAAAAAACCCTCCAAAACTTCTGATTGTCTATTCTATATTTTAGTGGAATATTATTCCAAACATATTCCTTCCTTAGTGTTGGCATATCTCAGTTAAGGGTACTGTTTTCTACGCAGTTGGTCATGCCAAATATCTAGAAGTTATCCTTTCTTTCCTTCATAGCCAGTCCACCAGCAGTTCCTGGTCATTCTGATTCTTTAATTCAGCCTCTCCTTCTGTCTTTATTACTACTGCTGTAGTCCAGTTGTTCTCGAAAGAATTGTGGTTCTCAACAGTGGTTGCCCTCCAAGGGACAGTTGTTAATGTCTGGAACCATTTTGGGTCGTCACACATAGAAGTGCTTTTGGCATTTAGTGGGTAGAAGCCAGAAATGTGGCTCAGCAGCCTAAAATGCATAGGAAAGCCCTTCACAACAAAGAATAATCCAGCCCAAAATTATAGTAGTGCTGAGGTTGTTATCGTTTTCATTTTCTTTGTCCCAAGAAATATAATTTTGCTTTTAAAATTCTCTAATAACTTGTTAATATTTTGGTTTTATAGACATGGCAGGCAGGTTTAAATAAACATGGATAAGAAGTCCACTCACAGAAATCCTGAAGATGCCAAGGCTGGCAAAAATGAAGGTAGGAGTTTATGCTTGCTTTAAGGCCTTCTGGGTAATTTAAGGTACAATTTTTTAAGTCAATGTATTTGTTTCTCTCTCATATGTTGCTAATATTTGGGGAAATAATTGTGTTCCATTTTATATCTCTCTAAGATAAACAAAAACGAAAGAAAAAAAGAAAGGAAAACCTAAATCACCACCGATCCCGACATAGATCAGTGACATCTTTTTCTTCAGATGATCGTGTGTTTCCTTCTTCATCATCATCATCTTCAGGAAGCCAGACGGATTCGAGTACTGAAGGTGTGTTTATCACCCTGTAAAGGTTTCATATTTATAAGTTAGCCGATTTAGAAAAAAAATACTAATGCCGGGCGTGGTGGCTCACGCCTGTAATCCCAGCACTTTGGGAGGCTGAGGCGGGTGGATCACGAGGTCAAGAGATCGAGACCATCCTGGTCAACATAGTGAAACCCCGTCTCTACTAAAAATACAGAAAAATCAGCTGGGCACGGTTGCGTGTGCCTGTAATCCCAGCTACTCAGGAGGCTGAGGCAGGAGAATTGCCTGAACCCAGGAGGCGGAGGTTGCAGTGAGCCGAGATCGCACCATTGCACTCCAGCCTGGGTAACAAGAGCGAAACTCCGTCTCAAAAAAAAAAAAAAAAAAAAAAAAAAAAATACTAAACATCCGTTATAATTTTTATTTATCCAACTAGTATTTATTGAGCATACCCACTATCTGCCAGACATAGTGGCAAACATGCCATGGTCCCTTCAGGCAGGAGACTTTTATTAAGCAATACTGGGAATGATAATAAGAGGGATTAAAAAGAAAAAATATATTAGGCAATAAAACAAACAAATAGTTCATTACAGTGTAGATGAGTGCTGTTACTTCACATGCATATGTCATGGGGGCAAGGAAAGGCTTGGAGAGGAAATAATATCTAAATTGAGAAGTGGAGGATGAATAGGCATTTTCAGGCAAAGGCAAGGAAGTGGAATTAGAGAATATTTATTATAGGCTAAAGGAATTGCATATGCTAACCACTATTAACATATGGGTTCCTAATTCAAGTAACATGTCCCAGCTGCAAAGGGAGCTGGGAAAGCAAGATTGGCTTTGTCGGCATTGATGGTGAAAGGCATGTGGACAAGTATGCACTGAACATAGGAAGAAGAATCAGTTACTAGCAATCAAAATATGACAGATGTTCTCCACACTCAACCCTAGACAAGATCAATTGACTAGCTCACTTTAAATTACTTTGTCTCACCTACCGTTACTTTCTCTGTGTTTGTAAGTTGTGTTGTAATTACTTTTTCTATTGGCTAATTTGGTATTAATAAGTAACCTACTTGTAACTCTGCTTCTTGTTTCATCAACTGTAGTCAATTATTTTATTCTCTCTTACGTAAGTTAAATATATTGGTATCTCTGTCCTTTCCTCCATTTTTCCCCATTGTCTTTTTTTAGGTTTTCAGTAGTTAGTATGTACAACAAAAATTGTCTTTTTTTTTGGTCTAGATTGACTTTAAATCTTTAAGACCAATAATTAGCATTTAAATCACTATTGCTATGTAAGTAGTGTTACTATAGTGCCAAGTTGTATGCAAGGATTAAATTTCCCTTTTGTGGATCTAATATTACGATTTCTAGGACTGTCAAAGGAGAGTGTTTCTAGTCACAGCATCAAGTACATAATTTATATTCTATCGGTTGCTTAAAACCATGCTGTATCCTAGTTTTGCTTCATATTTGAGCCATGACTTTCATGTAATTTTCATTTTTCTTAGTTTCCAGTTCTCCCTCTTGTTTTTTATTGTTGACAAAAAGATCATATAATTGCCATAATGAAAAGATTTTCTATACTTTTAATTATACTTAGAGTTCATTTCTTTTCTCTGGAAATGTTCTTGCCTGCCTAGTGTAATCTAGACCACTTTCTACCCTGAAGGCCTGCTATATATATATCTGTTATCCTAGGATCTCCCCCTCACTGGTTTTCTGGATTGGATCCATTGTTTTCTTTTCTTTTTTTTTTGAGATGGAGTTTCGCTCTTGTTACCCAGGCTGGAGTGCAATGGCGAGATCTCGGCTCACCGCAACCTCCGCCTCCTGGGTTCAGGCAATTCTCCTGCCTCAGCCTCCAGAGTAGCTGGGATTACAGGCACATGCCACCATGCCCAGCTAATTTTTTGTATTTTTAGTAGAGACGGGATTTCACCATGTTGACCAGGATGGTCTTGATCTCTTGACCTTGTGATCTACCCGCCTCGGCCTCCCAAAGTGCTGGGATTACAGGCTTGAGCCACTGTGCCCGGCCCCATTGTTTTCTTAGATTCATGTCGTCCTCTCTCTTAGTGTTTTGCCTTGACTGTTGGAGTACATTGTTAGATAACTTTTTACAAAATGTTGTCTGGGAAGTAAATTTCCTGAGTCTTGGCATATCTCAACATGTCATTATTCTCCCTTCCCACTAATTGATAATTTCAAAATGATTCTTCCCAATTCCAATTTCCAGAAGCAGGCATTCTGAACTCTTTTAGTAGTCTGTTTTGATATCTATCATCTGATAGATAGGATTCCGTAACTTATTTATGGAATCACTTCTACATTTTTCAGTTTTAGGCTCTATAGAATGTAGGGGGAAATAGTGGTTAAAAACAAAAGTAGCTAAGAATTTAGCGATTTCCCCCCACATTCACTTTCTTCCTCCCATCCTCCTAAATAGGATTCCATTATTGTAACTATGATAATTTAATTAATACTTTGTTATGGCTATGTAGATGCTATACGGTTCACAGCTGAACCATATAATGGCTTCCTTTGCAGCACAACTTTTTTTATTCCTTAAAGTTAATAATTATCTTTTAAAATTTTGTTTTTTGTCTTTGTGATATGTAGTAGTAGTATAAATTTCCTTTGAAAAGGTTCAGACACATCAGGTATTGAGTTAATTTCATTTGGGGATTATTTCCTAGATCCATTTAACATACTCTGGACTTACTGTTCTCAAGGCCTGTTAAGCAACGGTGATATTCAGTTCTTTTGTCTTCATTCTGGATATGTGCTTTACCTCTCTTGGGTTTGATCACGCATTTTCTGGATCATATGGTTTCCTCTTCCTTTATTTTCCCCTTAATTTACTGGAGAACCTATAACTTCCAGGAATAAGATGAGCTGTTAATTCCTATTCTGTTTGTAGTTGTGGGTTTATACTATTAAATAAATTTCTTTTATTTACTTCTGCTTCGAGTAACACAGACCCTCTGTAGAAAACCCAGGAGGGGTAGGAATTAATCAAGGTAAGTTGAGCCTTATTGGAATTGTGATCTCATCTCTGCATAGTCCCCAGTTGGGTTTAGATCATCATCCATCATTCTGTTTGTTCAGTGGAGGATAAATAATCTTGAGAGATGGATAACATCATCTAGAATCTCTAGAATTTTTTAATACAGCATATATAACTTTTAACAAAAAATTACTAGATATGTCTACATGACTGAAAAACAAGAGAAAAAAATAATAAAAGCCCTACGGGTAATCCAGATGAGTTAGCTGGTAATGAAGTTTAAATAGTTACGATTATTATATTTAAGAAAATAGAGATTTGTCAACTGTGAAAAAGAATCAGGTATATTCTGGAATAAACAATTCATTATCTGAAATTAACTATTTAGATTTTTCATTAGATTAGACACACACACACACACACACACACACAAAGACAGAATTAGTAAACTGGAAGTCAGATCAGGAGGGAGAAAAAAGAAAGATACAGAAGAAAATGTGAGAGGTATATGAGACAGAGTGATGAGATCTAATATTGTAATTGGAATCCAAGAAGGAAAGAAGAGCAAATGAGGAAGAAGCAATATAAAGAGAATAATGCTTAAAGTTTCCCATAACAGATGAAAGACATCAACTAAAGATTCAAGAAGCTGACAACCCCAAGCTGGATAATACATAAATCACATCGGTAACTTTGCTTCTAGTCAGGAAAATGGTTGTCTTTTGTAGTATGGAGTAGTTAATGTGATGGCAAACTAACATTCTCCTTTTCTATTTTTTTTTTTTTTTGAGACAGAGTCTCACTCTGTTGCCCAAGCTGGAGTGCAGTGGCACAATCTGAACTTAGTGCAACCTCTGCGTCCCACGTTCAAGTGATTCTCTTGCCTCAGCCTCTTGAGTAGCTGAGATTACAAGTGCCCACCACCATGCCTGGCTAATTTTTGTATTTTTAGTAGAGACGGGGTTTCATGATGTTCTCCAGGCTGGTCTCAAACTCCTGACCTCAAGTGATCCACAAGCCTTGGCCTCTCAAAGTGCTGGGATTACAGGCATGAGCCACCATACCCGTCCTCCTTTTCCATTTTGTAATTAAAATACTTAATTCATTTTTTATGTTTTCCATTAGACTACTTAATAGTTGCATTCACATAGTGTCTGCTAATAACATGTTACACTCCCTAGATTAACTAGAGGTTAGATTCTTTTGGAACTAGGGGAGTATCATCCTTGGATGGGTTCCTAAATGCCACATGCTTATACTGGGATACAACTATAGTTAAACTTTTTTTCTTTTTTCTTTTTTTTCTTTTTGAAAGAATGCCTCACTTTGTCACCCAGGCTGGACTGCAGTGGCACGATCTTGGCTCACTGCAGCCTTGACCTGCTGGGCTCAAGTGATCTTCCTACCTCAGCATGCTGAGTAGCTGGGACTACAGGTGCACTCTACCATGCCTAGCTAATTTTTGTATTTTGGTAGAGACAGGGTTTTGCCATGTTGCCCAGGCTGGTCTCAGACTCCTGAGAGTGATCTGCTGAAGTGATCTGCCTGCCTTGGCCTCCCAAAATACTGGAGTTACAGGAGTGCACCACCACGCCTGGCATATTAAACAATTTTATCTGCTATTTGTATCTTGTAAGATTTTTCCAATAAGCATAATAAAGTTGATTAAAGTATCTTAATTATTTTATATAATCAGTCAAATAATTTTTAATGTTAGGGCTGAAACTTCTAATTCTTTTTAAACTTTTAGATGCTACTAAGGAAAAAATTAAGAGGGGAGAGAAAACAAATAAATGGAGAAAAAAAAGAAAGGTTAGTAATTGTGAGTAGTATAAGAATAAGATTTGGCTACTAGAGGATATTGTACTTATTAAATAAGAAAATTTATAAGGAATTTGAAGAGATATAAGGCAAAGAATGGTTAACATAGTAGTTGACATGGTGGTGCTAAGCTTATAGTGTTCTTTGCTGCGTTTCAAATACTTCTGAGAAACCTATACAGACAGGTAAAATCTCATAGTTACAATTCTTTAGATTCTTTTAAATTTTGATGTTAACATAGTTATAAAATAGCATATGTGCTTTGAATTTTATAACATAGTTATAAAATAGTTAAAACATGGTTATAAAATAGCATATGTGCTTTGGATTTTACTCTGTTAGGCATTGGGAACATTTGAGCATCTTCAAACAAAAATAACATTTTCTAATGTTTGTTCTAGGAATATAATTCAATATCAGAATGACTTGGAGGAAAAAACCCTACGGGAAGCTATTGTAGCCTAGTGAGGAAGATAAATGTTAATAGAGCCAATTTATAGATTGGACTAAAGACAGTGATTGGGGTGGTTGAAAAAGAAAGAACAGATAGAAGAGATATTGCAGAGGTAAAATCTGTATGACCTAGTAACTGGATATAGGAAGTCTGGAAGACATAGTTTTATAGAAATGCATTGTTTTAATGGGATAAATCTTATTAAAAGTTCATCCTAAATGGTTTTTTAATACTGTGCACAAAATTCCCAAATTTAAAGCAGTATAAATTTTGGAAATTAAAAGTTTTGAGAAAGGGATGATTCCTTTAAAATAAGTATGATAAAGATTGGTGGATTTCAGGCAGACTTGGCAGGATACAAGTTTTCATACTCAGTGGAGGACTCTTGTAAGTCACTGGTACCCAATGGTGTTATAGTATCAACCCACTTTGGTGTGATTGGTGTCCTTATTAGCCATATAATCAACTAGTCAAATTGTAGAAGAGGAATAATCTGGTTAAGACATAATTAAACCTTATGAAATTCTTTAATTAACATTTGACAGACAAAGGGTTTAAATATACTTAACTTTATAAATGCCATCAGATATTTTTCCTAGGAAAAAGGGAATATGGCTGTTGCTGATGGTTTTTATAAAGTTAAGTATAGTTCACCCTTGAACAGCATGGCTTGAACTTCAAGAGTTCACGTACATGTGAATTTCTTTCAAACAAACGTGGATTGACAATACAGAATTTGTGGGATTCTAAACCTAAGGGCTGACTTTTTGTCAGCTGGTTCCACAAGGCCATCTGCGAGACTTGAGTATGCGTGAGTTTTGGTGTATGCAGAGGTCCTGGAACCAAACTTCCATGTAGACCGAGGAACAACCATATCTCAAAATAAACATTGCATTGTGTTTTTACAGTTCTTCTATACTCTATAAAAATGTTTTGTGTTTAGTACACACTTGAACTAAAAGTTCTAAGTAATTCCTACCTTGCAAATATTTTTTTTTTTACAGTAAATTGGAGGTAGATAGAGTCATTGGCTTGGAAAATGTTCTTGGAGGCCACAGATTCAATGTCCGATGCAAGCATTCTGTCATAAACTGTTTCATTAGGATAGGGGCACTCTATAATTGATAGGCTGGGATTTGCTATACAACTGACCAACTATTACAAGGATCTGGTTAATTATAAATTACTTTTCTTCCTTTAAAATGTGCAGCACAGGCTGGGCATGGTGGCTGACGCCTGTAATCCCAGCACTTTGGGAGGCCTAGGTGAGTGGATCAGACTAATGCCCAGACTAATGCTAAAAAGGGAAAAAGCTTTAACTCTGAGTAAAGTTCAGATTATTCATTATTGCAACTATTAAGGAGAATATTCAAAACTTGGAAATAAGGTTAAGTGATGTCTGCATGACCTTTTAATGTCATGCTAGAGCACTGTTTAAAAAGGCTAACAGTTATCTAATTCTCCAGGGAAAGTAATTTTGTTGGAAACTGTATTCACTATGGCTTGGAGCTCACATATCTACATAACAATTTTATAGCTAGAGGCTAACTTAAATAAAATGGATGAAGTGTGACAATTCTCTTTTCTGACCAGTAGAAAGGATAACTGCTAAAAAGTGAACAAATGAGATTCCAGGGAAGCTTTGGGCTTTTTGATGGTGTTGACAATCAAAGACCTATAGAGCTGGATCTAGAAGAGGCCACTGTGAGGCAAGTGCAGGACAGAAAAAACCACCCTGAGGCAGGAGATGAGCCTGGAGTGTCCACTAAGAGGCAGAAGAGAAGCCTTGAGAGGCCACGGTGAGGCACAAGCTGGTATAAGAAAGGCCAATGTGAAAAAAAAAAAAAAAAGCTGAACCTTGAGAGGCAGACATGACACTGAGGATGGGTCTGAAGAGGCCACTGTGAGACAACGTAAGACCTGCCAAAATGGCTGAAAAACAGGTAGTAACAAGGCCAGATAAGGCCCAGATAGTGAATAGCTGCACTGAAGAGGATGTGGTCAGGTAGGAGCTGGGCCTGTCCGGGCCGCCGGTAGGCTGAAGGAAGACCTTGAAAGCCTGACTGAAAAAAAAAGCTAAAGTCTGCAGAGGCTGCTGGGAGCTGGGCAGGAGCTGGAACAAACTTGGTTGTTGCGAGGCAGGAGTTGAGCCTGTAGACTCAGCGAGGAAGAAGAGCTGGGCCTGGGGAGGCCTCCAGGAGGGAGGCAGAAGCCCAGCCTGGAGAGGCCTCTGGAAGGGCAGGAGCTGGGCCTGGAGAGGCCGATTCCAGGGCCATAGAGGCCTGCTGGGGCCACTGGGAGGAGGCTGGAGCCGGCCTGAGAGAAGACGACTTGAGGAAGTTTTGGGCCTGGAGATGCCATCGGAGGGCAGGAGCTGAGCCTGGAGAGACCATGAGGCATGAGCTGGGTGGGCCTAGGGGAGCTTGACTTGAAGACGTTTGGGGCCTACAGAGGCCACCAGGAGCTGCGCAGGAACTGACTGAGTCCACAGAGGTTGTTGTGAAGCGAGGCAGAAGCTGGGCCTGTAGACGCATCCAGGAGGAAGAGCTGGGCCTGGAGAGGAAGCCAGGAGGCAGCACCTCGGCCTGGAGAGGCCACGAGTGGCATGAGCTGGGCCTGGAGGGCCTGCCAAAAGGCTTCCAAGAACTGGGCCTGGAAGGCCACTGTGAGGAACGAGCTGGGCCTGCAGAGGCCACTCACTGGGACGCAGGAGCTGGGCCTCCAGAGACTGCCATGTTCATACCTCCCCAGCCCGGCCCTCCTTGTCTCTCCATCCATACTCTGCCCCTGCCATCCATGTACCAGACAGTGGCAGGCTGGTCTTTCTACAGCAAACTGGACTAGGGCCCTTCCCTACCCACAGCTCTCAGAGCTAAAGTTGGAGTTAAGCCTCACATGGTTTGGCTTGGTATTGAGAGCTCTTTCCCCCTCGGCACTGGCTCATCCAGAGCACTCACAGCACAGGGCAGGGCAGGAGCCCCCTTATTCAAATGTGGGTTTGGTAAAGAACTGGGTATGAGATGGTAATTTCCCTAAGAGAAACAGGGCTGAGATGGGAGAATTTTCTGGGTTCAGAGTTAGACCTCCAGAGTGCAAGCTTCCTTTGAGACACCAAATGGAGGGGTCCCACTGGCAGCTGGCTCCTGGTCTGGAGCTTCAGGGAGAGGTCTCAGCTCAGAGCCGCATTCAAGAGCCAGCTTAAATGCAGCTTCCTGCAGGGAACCCCCAGAGCTTCCACAGCCTCAGATCTGCCCCTCTGCATACGCCAGATCTTTTGCCAAGTGGCGTTTGACTCTTCATATCATCTCCCTTTTATGCCTGGGAGTAAAGGTGAGGTGCAGGGATTTAAACTTGTGTACTCTGGTGCCGTCGGGGAGAAAGTGTCAAGTAGAGAGGCTCAGCTTGGAAAGAGGGAGACTCAGAGGAGAGTCAAGGACATGTGAGCAGGCAAGCCTGGGAGCAGGAAAAGAGATGAGAGTGAGCAGAGGCAAGTGCCGGGGCAGGGGAACAGGTGGGAGAATTGGGGAATCAGGGGGCTGGAGAGGTGGGGGTGGGGATGCGGGTGAGGGGCTGCCTGGCTGTCCAGGCTCAGGAGTCAATTACATTCTCCCACAAGGGCCAGCTCACCCGGTCACTCCAAAGCCCTTCCTCTGTTGGTGGGCCCAGAGGGCGCAGAGGATGGATGACTCAATTGGGCAGGCCTGAGGTGGACTTGGGTGGGTGCTGGCTGGACTCCTGGCCATGGGGAGCAGCCACCACCCTGCCTACCGTATCCACTTTCCAGCTGGCTGCCTCTCTGAGCAGATGCAATATTGGGTGGCTTGTGAAACGTGCTCCTAGTGCACCTGCTGCTTGCTGCTCTGGGCTCTCCAGAGGGGTTTCCCGTGGAGGCTGGGCCTAGATTTTGAATCCTGCCCCTCATACCTGGTTCCCCTCCCCCAGAGGCCAGCTACTTGAGTACCTGGAAGCCAGTCTATCCCCAGAGTATAGCTGGGTTTGTTCCACAGCACTTCATGGCATATATATTTGGACTGACTGCTCATTTCATAGAGAGGGGTGTGTCTTGCCCCAGCTCATCTGGCATATCTAAAGCAACTGTGGGGTCAGAATCTGCAGCTCCCAGCCCCCAGCCTTGCAACATTAGGGGGGTGCTGGACCCCACATCTCTGAAGTCCCACCGGCAGGCTCCTGAGTCCAGGGCTGCTGTGCAGGCTGTGGGGTTCATGCTCCAGCTCTGGGCCCACCTGATGTGCTCAGGCTGCTCACCTTTGGGCCTGTCCTGCCTCTCAGGTTTCAGCTGACCTGGAGGGCTTCTCCCTCATCTTGACTACCAGCTATTGGCTCTGACTTAAGAGGTTCCCAGAACCTTAGACCATTTGGCTCAACCCCCCATTTCTCAGCTGGGGAAACGGACCAAAGAGGGGAAGCAACTTTCTCATGGACCCCCAGCAAGTCAGAGTCAGAACTGGGTCTAGGAGCCTCTTTCCAACAGAGGTTCTTCCTGACCCCTGAGCCTTCTTTAGCCTCTCATTAACTTC